CAGCTCCCTATTAACAAATTCGCCACCTCGGTCTGTGTGTAAGGTCTTTATTTTCTTGTCTGTTTTATTTCCAAGAATGCCTTAATGTTACAGAAGACCGATGTAAAATCACTTTTTGCTTTCATAGCAACAACTAGAGCAGTCCTGCTGAAGTCGTCTATGAAAGTGGCGAAATATAGGTTCCCTTGAATTGAGGTACATTGTAAAGGACCGACTAAGTCACTATGAATGACCTCCAAGGGTGCTGAAGCTCTCTTTTGAGAGGGAGGGAATGGAAGATGGTGTGATTTTCCCATTTCACAGCCATAACACGGCTTGTCTTCCACTTGGCTATTATCAATACTAAGGCCTTTTACAGCTTTAGGAGCATATCTTTTGAGGGCCTCTTTTGACATATGACCCATGCGCAAATGCCAGGTATCAAGGCTAGTTGATGCAGATTTGTGGGAAGCAGTATTTAGATTCTGCATTGTTTTCCCAAAGACCCAATAGAGTCCCATAGCCTTGACACCTTCCGCTATAATTGCATTATTATACTTTATTTTGACCTCAGATGGAGAAAATTCCACTGAGCCACCTTTGTCTGTGATGCAGCTTGTCGATAGTATTCTTTCACTACCAGGCATATAGAAGACGTTATTTAACTCTAACTCGTAGTTGTTTCGAGTTTTGAGTATAACTTTGCCTGTTCCTTTGACTTGGACTACTGAGCCATCACCAATTGTCACCGAGTGTCCCTTGTGTGGGAAGTACTCAGAAAAATCTTCTAAGTATGGTGTAAAATGGGTGGTGGCTCCACTGTCCATCATCCAAGGATTGCTGCCATCATCGACTTCTTGTGTATGTTCGGTCATCATATAAAGTGAAATGCGAGGTGTCTCATGCACCTCCTGTATTCTGCCACTACCATTAACTATGGTAGCTACTTGTGTGGAGTTATTATGTACACTGGGGCCTTGCCCCTTCCTCTTGTTGCCCTTTTTGCCTGCATCAGCATTGGCTCTGTCCTGTTTCCTTTGCTGACATTCATTAGCCTTGTGGCCCGGCTTCTGGCAATAGAAGCAGGTGACATCATTGGACGATGATGCACCTGCAGGAGGTGGCATGAAAGTTACTTGTTTTTTGTTTTTATTTTTGTTGACATGGGCTGCCTTATTAAGGGCAGCCCCAACACCACTTCCTGTGGGGCCGGCTAGTCGGCTTTCCTCATTTAGGAACCTTTGTACAAGGTCCTGAGGGGAAAGGTGGTCAGGAGGACCTGACGCCAGGATTGAGCCAGCAATGGCTGAGTAGGATGGAGGTAGGGATTGGAGCAATATAAAGCTCATCTGGAGATCAGAGATCTCCATCCCATTTTCCTTGAGGGTACTCCTCACATCCAACACACGCTGCAACTGGGGTCTGAATTGCTTACCCTCTTCCAAGCGGAAAGAGGATACAGAACACCACAAGTTGTAGGTGGCCATGCTACCTACTGAGCCATAGAGCGATTCCAAACGCTCATACTTGGCATTGACAGAAGGGTATGTCAAACAGGCATGAGGCGCAGCATACTGACTGTGTGTGTTAGCAGGTTAAGCTAGACAAAGAAAGTTACTTCAGATGTTAGAAGAACTCTATTAACTATACTACTGACCTAGACAAAGAAAGTTCTATGTAAAGAACGTCAGTCTAATAGTAAAGTAGATAGTATGAAAGGAACTTACACTTCAGATGTTAGAAGAACTCTGAAGTGTAGAAGACGAAACAGACACCCTTATATACCCCAAGGGATGGTCTGTGCGCACTGGGAATAAGTCCACAAGTGCCAGACAATAAACATGAGGGAGAAAGGCCATTGGCCAATACAGAAATCACATGTTACATGGTGTATCAGTCAGCTACTGCAGAATGTGAGAAAGAAGGTAATAATGATAATGTAAAAAGTCCGAGACTCCGGTATCTAATCTAATCTACAAAGCAGCTAATCTAATCACCTGATGCCTGAAGCATCACCAAACATCTTCTGTGTTCAACAGGGTAAGTTCTGTCAGAGGCAATTTGGGAGTATGTTTCTGGTGATGTGACCATAACCAGAACTCCCATGAGGACTTCCTCCACCCTATTCCATTCTTGGTACATAGGCTCAGACCAAAGTGCAAAGCGCTTGGCATACTCGTCATCCTTTTCTCCATCCTCCGGCTTGGGAGCATTCAGGAACTCAGGGGCATCATGCGTGATGTGCCTCTTCATCCCATTGATCCTCAACAGGGCAGTAAAGGATACTGACCACTGCTGCCAGTTGGAGCCATCAAGCTTGTCAAACTTGAAGGTTGGGGGGAAGACGATGGAAGACATTGAGATGATTAAAAAAGGTTGATCCTGGTTCCAAGGAGCAGTTAGAACCAGTTGTCCAGGTCTCATTGAAGAGGGCCCGTCCAATCTGTGGCGCTATGCTTCAGAACTTAAAAAAGTCCTGCCTCTGATGTGCGACTTCTAAGTAGTATAGTAGGCTATCTAGCGCCATCTACAACAAGTCCTAAGCCCACATCAGGGGGACGTTGTGTAAATAGATGGGGAGTCATGTCATGGAGGAGCCAACCGCAAGTTCCACTAGAGACAAAGGGTATAGAGCCCTTCCTCTAGTGCTGGTGGTGGAGTCCATGATTAAGCCCTAGATGATTGGGGCCATGACTATAGTAGACTATTAGGTTTCCTCTGGTTGGGGCGAACCCCCAATGAAAGCAGCGGGTACTTCTGCCCAGAGACAAAACCCTCTAGCTACTGTGTATATACTATAGTAGTTCAAGCCTACTTGTATCGAGCCCAAGCGTCATGGGAGTGACTACCCATGCCTTGTTCTAGACCCTAAACTCTACCAGCAGGTTGCTAAACCTGGCTTACGGATCGAGCCAAGCATTGACTGAACCTATAGCCCCAAGCCTTCTGGGCAAGTGGCCTACTAAGTCTATGGATGGGACGAAAACCCAGCTATAACTATGAATACTATTTACTTAGAGCGCACATGAGGAGCTTAAGGTGTTTCACCCACTTAGGGTCCCTCATCACCTCTTGCAAGAATCCCCTGAGGGACTAGCCAGACAGATCAAGGTGGGCACATTAAGCGCACCACCTTGTGGACAGTTAAGGGCAAGAAAAGAAAGAAATCGAAGCTCACTGTGACGGTGATTGGGAAAAGGAGTCTTGAAGCAGTGAGCTTGAAGAGAGTGTTGGACTGATCAAAATAAAGGAAAAACAGATCAGTTAAGCGTGCCCAGGGCCCATAACCTGTGAAACAGGCATGTGCACAGCATACTGACTGTAAGGTTTAGCGGGTAAGGCTAGACAAAGAAAGTTACTTCAGAGGTTAGAAGAACTCTATTAACTATACTACTGACCTAGACAAAGAAAGTTCTATATAAGAACGTTAGTCTAATAGTAAAGTAGATAGTAAAGATGAACTTACACTTCAGAGGTTAGAAGAACTCTGAAGTGGAAGAGACAAAACAGACACCCTTATATACTAGTCAAGGGTGGTCTGTGCACTGGGAATAAGTCCACAAGTGCCGGACAAAGTCCAAACAATAAACATGAGGGAGTAAGGCCATTGGCCAGTACAGAAATCACATGTTACATAGTGCATCAGTCAGCTACTGCGGAATGTGAGAAAGAAAGTAATAATGATAATGTAAATAGTCCGAAACTCCGGTATCTAATCTAATCTACAAAGTAGCTAATCTAATCACCTGATGCCTGAAGCATCACTGAACATCTTCTGTGTTCAACACAAGATCCCTCAAAGATTCCTATTTTATGTTCATAAGATTAAGATAATTTATTATTCCATTTTTATTTTATTATTCTGCTTTCAATTTTATACGAGCGTGACTGTTCTTTGCATTTCTGCGCATTTCAGATAAATGGCCCAGGCCATCCCGGTCAAGGAGATAAGCACTTGGACACAACGTGTTCATTTATGGCTACTCAAGATCCCTCAAATATTGTTGGTTTATGTTCAGAAGATTAAAAGGATCCTTTATTTACATTATTATTTTATTATTCTGCTTTCATTTCATACGAGCGCGACTGTCCTGGTGTGTTTAAGTCAACCTTCCTTAATAGGAAGGAGGTCAGACCACCATGCGATGCAATGTAGTCACTGCCCCATGCAGCTTGTAGATACACGCGGGCCTTGTTTCAGTAAACTAATTTAATAATTTAATTATATTATAGTCTAAAGTAGTCTAGAGAGTATTTTAGATAGTGCCAGACTGGCAGAATTGGTCACGCGTTGATAAAACAGGTGCATCATGATTTTCAAGAAGTGGATCACTGATAACACTTTTATTTTACATCGCACCGTTGATCTGCTTTGATATTTCATATGATAATACTAGAACATATTTAAAAATACCCTATAGCATACATCAGATGAGATCTTTTATTTTTGTGGCTGCAGATGTGTTTTATCTTAGAATTTCTACTGATCTTGTCAATGCATGATTGGCGCCTATACCCGCCAAACCCGCCACACGGGTACGGGTTTCCACGGGTTGGGAGCCGTATACCTGTACCCGTACCCGGCAAAACCCGTGGCGCTTACCTGTGCGGGTATGAAAACCCTTGACAATCACTAATCACTACTAAACTAGGTAGCACTTATCTAACTTGCTGCTGCTCAAAACAACACCTGTCTTGGCCCTGTATCTTAATGAGCATAGTATATGGTACATGTGGCCATGTTGATTCTTGGAGGTGACAGGACAACCAGTGTATAAGCATGGGGGTCTATAAGAATGCGACATCATATGGGTTGAGGGAGGGAATGCATGTTTTTTTTTTTTTTTGAAATCGACTTTATTCGTGCTTCAGGGTTTGTCCCAAATTGCGCGGCTACTACGGGACAGAGTATTAAGGCAGGCACTGTTGAGAAGTGCCTGAAGCCTAGTAATGGCACATGTACATGGGTGGACTGGTTATGGCTAGGGCATAACACACAGAAACCACCTTGAAGTTCCCAAGGCCATGTAGCTCAGTGGTTAGAGCACTGGACCTAGAATGTCTGGGGGTCTTGGGTTCAATCCCCAACATGGCTATACTTTTCCTGAGATTGAATGTCCCTCAATCGGGGTGCTGAAACCTCAACAGGCACAGGGTAACTACTTGTGAGGAAAGTAGTGAAGGGGGAAAAACCTCACTTGGAGGAAAAGGCTTAACTAAAGAATGGAAGTAAAAGGGTCGAATATGGGTTTGGAAAGAGAAAGTGGCAATCAAAGATAGGAAAGTATCAAAGAGAGCGTATGGGAGGGAAAAGACCGAATGCGCATTTGCAAACAAAGACTTACCCGATGTGAGGGAATGCATGTTGCATGCTCTACTTAACCGCCGATAATTAATCACATGACATGACTCTAACAACGATCATCGAGTCATCATGTCAAGGCACCCACTTTCTCCAAGCCCCCCCTCAGCAAAGCATGCAGGGATGAACACAAGGAACAGATCCTCTCTTCTTCAATGGATGTTGATCGAGAAGTATCATCATCTTTTACTTCATCCCATCGCCTCCCTGTGGAACCCCTCAATTATTTTAGGAACATTTTGCAATTTGTTATTATCAGACCAGGAGATTAAAAAGGAGCTCACTGATAAATGCAGCTGTAAAAACGGTATTAGCTATCTATTTATATAGTGGATAGGTTCAGTTATTGTGGTCAAAACTGGAGTGAACGCATACAAAATGGAGTCCTTATATACTACTAAAAGAGTGTGACAATAGTTCTGAAGTTTGGTGGTGAGACAGTTGTGAAGCAAAGAAAGAACAGATGAGATTTCTGGGTCAAAACCTCAGTAATACTACAGGAGCTCAAGACCGAAGTCTTAGAGCTCGATGTCCTTCAGTATTTATGTAGAATAGGAAGTCGACGTCATAGCTATGTTCGTGAAGAAATAAAGATCATAAGGCATTGAGGGCACTGCCTGGACCAAGAACGTCATAGTCTAGAGTAAGAGGAAAATATAAAGTACATGATGTATGAAAAGTGAAAAAGCATAACAATGACAGTGATCTACGACATCATATTTCTCCAATCTTCCACTAAACTACAGGTCACATTACAATATCATCCCGCCAAAACTCCCAGTACCGGGAAGTATGGAACGAGTAACTCAGGCTCATTCGAACTCCTTAAAAAGGCATCCCACCCCTCCCGAGTATTTACCAATGCTTTCCACATATCAGGAGAGTCCGCCGCCACTGGTTTGAGGACGTCCTCACTGACCCCTGAACACACATAATCGTAGGAAGTGAATAGCGCTTGTCCATCATCGTCCAAGGCCGTCGCACCATCTGATGGTAATTCATACTTCATGTGTTCTACCTTAGGGTCACCTTTAGAAGAAAGGCTGAAGAGTAGACGGATTATCGGAATCGGGAATATGCCGTTTTCCTTGTCTGATGCGTCCAGTAATTCATATTCGAAGGGATCCATATCCCTGAAGATTCCATTAAATTCCTTTGGACCAATACTTGCATTATTCTTCACTTGGACGAGGATAAATCCTAGTTTCTGCACATCAAGGTGGATGTCCCCATACAAAAATGGATAAACTGCGTCAAAGCCAGGTTGACAATTGGTTCCCAGAGCAGCCGCGCCCCGTGCCATGAAACGAATTAAATATTTACGCGCCAGGACCTCATGTTCGTACGGTTTGATGAAATGATTAAAATGCATCCTAGCCCTCTTGAATGCATCTTTGAATAGTGGCTGATTCGTGTTGCCGTTCTGCGGACATAGAGATGGCTTGGTCTTCGCAATCAATTCGAAAATCGATGCAGGAAACAGGTTTTTAAACAGTTCCTTGACAGTGAAAAAGTGACAGAGCGCCCCGTCACAAGGTTCACCTTTACTTTTAACCACCTGGTCGCGTGCCCAAGTGAACCAGGCGGCGACCAATAACTCTCCGCGGGCCTCTTGACTGACGGAGAACCCCGAGAAGACCTTTTCGAGCGCCACAGGTAGGTTAATCCCACGCCCGTCATTCATGATACGAGAAGCAGCCTCTGAGAGGATCGGCTCGGACGAAGCAACTGCATGCATAGACTCGAATTCCTTTCCGACAGAGATGCAGACGCGCATATGATATGTAATTTGCTCATGGATGATTTCTGCAAGATTCAGAGGCGTCACGGATGATAAATGGTATTGGGAACTGTCAATATCCAGCGCCAAACGCTGAGACAAAACTGCGTATATGCGCGCATCCGAAAGGGGGCCTGGGCCTCTGGACCCACATAGCAGTTTTTCCATGGCAAAATCGATTAAACCCTCGCGAGTTACTTGGTTTCCATGGTCGTAAAGTGTACCCCACCTGGGAAATGTAAAAAAGAAAGGTCAAGACAGGATAACACATGGCTTACAATGGCCTTCCCATGTGAGCAATGCACTCCAACGAAGTGACGTCTTTAAGAGTACTATGTTTAGAGATCTTCCGAGTTTGCATCAGTTGGTCAAACCCAAGGTAAATGTAAGGTTGGGGTATTATTAATTCCCCCTGTCTGCCACGGTTGGAAGGGTCCGCAGAATGTACGTGTGAAAATTCAGTGATCTTCGCAGAAGTGGAAAGAAAAAAGGACCACATAGGTCTTTTCCGCAATATTTGAAGTATTCGACGCAGTTCAGTAAAAGGAGAGCGCCAGTCGTGCTCGCCAAAAGGGGTTGTGAGGGAATGAGCCTCATCGAATAAAATATAGATTTCGATGTCCATGTCGACCTGAGATTGCTTTTCCGAAGGTAAAGCATGACGATTCGTTCTACGATTCAGTGCATCTCGAAGACGGTCAAAAGCATTAAATAAGGCTCTAACGTCCGCTTTGGGTTGTGCACTCATCCCCTTCAGAACGCTTAGAATGAATGGAGGGTATGAACGCGCCATGACGGACGTACGCTGCTAGCCTGGGCAACAACCTTATTGTAAAATGATTGCCTATCTGCCCCTACGCTTCTCATGTTCTGACCATTTGACATAAGCTCCCTGAACGCGCGGATCCGGTAAGCCCTGTTAGCATCATCGCTATGGGGATCCAGCTCATTCACAATGGTGTCCTGCGTCACTTTGAACAAAGCGAGGAGGAAATAGTATGCCCGATAATAGGCCAATAAAGCTGTATCTTCTGATCCCCTCGGCCCCGCGAGAAAGTCACGAAGTTCATTGTCCGGAGGGGGTATCCTATAAAATCGATTACGCAAGCTAAGACAAGAAATAAGAAGACGAGACAAACCTTTGCTGCCATGAGGGCGTAGATTGATTGGAATAAGGAAATCCTCACGGGACAACTCATCGATCAGGCGCGACTTGCCCATCCCAGATGACTGGATAATAGAGCAATATCGTGCATATAGTTTCTGATCAGAACCAAGGGATTTCAGCTCGCGTTTGACGTGATTTTTCAGGCCTTTAAGTGGAGCATCGTAAACAAACTCTGCATTCCACGAATTCATGACAACTTATATGATTTAAATGAGTAGCCAGACTTGAAGTTGAAGTTGAAGTACTTATAGACTGACCACTTTCTTCAAGTCGTTGAAGACCGGTCACAACCTCGGTTGCTGGAACCCAATGTGATTAGAAAACGATTATAGGGGTGGGGCAAGTTCATGGGCCTTACCCTCATTGATGGGCGGACGTGGAGTCCAAAAGACATCTAAGGAAAAACATTCATGAATTGATTGATTTAATAAGGAAAAGATACGGACTATGAGTTACGACAGCTTGGTGGTCATCCTCAGTGGCACCCTCCCTAACTGCCCTTTTCAACACATTGAAGAAATGCTCTTCTTCTCGAATAGCATTTTCTGTGAAAACATCCTCACTGACAAAACCAGTTCGAAACCCATCATATGCGATCCTAAAGCGCGCATAGATTTCCTTGAGGTCCTCTTTAATCTCCTGGTCTGATGCATCTGGTTCAATGGCAGCCCGCAAAATTTTCATAAAACGTTTGAGGCGTTCCGAAGAGAGGCCATAGGATGAAGCAATATATGAGGATACTTTTTGATCGACATCCATTGAAGAAGAGGGAATCGGGTCCTGGTGTTCTTGCCTGGCATGCTTTGCTGCTGGGGGGAGCTTGGAGAAAGAGGGCGCTTTGACATGACGACGATTCGATGATCGTTGTTCGATTGTAAGCCTCGCCTCATTCTTACTCACTCAACTCAGCCTCAGGGGTCATATCACATGATTTAGCGCATGATGCAAAATGGTGATCGGATCCTTAGACACAACGAAATAGGTTAGGGTTATATCTACGAGGCGTGTCCATAGAATATTTATGACATCATTCTACGCGTGTGATGAATTCTCCTAGCATAAAAAAACGTTTGTGCTTTCTCAATTATCTGTTCCCATCGATTGTCGTCGACTCTTTCCGTGGCGCTGGTCTATTCGCGTGCCTTTTTGCCCCAAGGACCGTCAATAAAACCACGTCCCTTTCCACTATCCTTGAATACCGTTAGCCCTCGCTCGACTCCAGCTGTTACCAGTGCCAGTGCCCCGATTTGAGGGCCATAATTCATTAACGATGTCGCTATCCTTCGAAGGTGTGTTGCATATACTTTCGTGATTAGATCGGAACAAAACGCTTCACGCGAGCCCTGTTGTTTGGCGGCAATGTTTAGACTAGTATAGTACAATCATAACATATAAACTCACCATGACGTCTGGATGCTTGTAGATAAAGCGAAAGCCCTTGAGAGCGGACTCAACAAATTTGCGCGCCCCTCCAAAGATGAGGAGAGTTCAGAAGATGGGTCGTCGTCCCATAGATCCGTAACAGCCTTGCAGCCCGCCTTGCCGATGTCGCTGCGCCAGTTATTTAGCAGATTGTTAACCTGAAGGTCATAAGATCAATAATTCAATAAGGAAAGGTATGGACGCACCACGCCCAGTGTGATGTCCATTTCCTCGGGCCCAAGCGGAATGTCTGGGTATGCAACACACCATATCTCCCTTATAATGCCCTCCACTTGGTCATTTGCGCCAAATGGGTCTTCTATGGACCCTGCCCATGATAAAAAAGCTGGAATGAACACTTTTC